TGTGTTTTGAATTTTGAAAACGAAAATGAAATATATATTTACCTTAATTACAAGGAAAAATTGCTTTTCAGCGTATTATATATAAAATCAAATTTGTAACAATATTATTTATGATGAATAAAATATTTTCCATTGTTATAGATAGTTTTTTACAGCAGCAATACAAACGATGAAGTAAAGAATATATATATGTATGTATATATATATATATATATAAAAAACAAAAAATATCTAATGCATATGATTTATATAATAAATTACATCAAAAAATACATTGCAAATCATAATGTACACATTAAAATTCAATATATTCTTACTACATATACTTTAAACAAATCAGATATTTAAAATTTTTAAACAATTAGTGCTTTTTTTTTGGTATGCAGAAAAAATAAATTTTAAGAACCGATATACAGGTTACCTATAAAATTTAAATTAACCGATATACAGGTTACCTATAGAATTTAATGTAAGAACAAAACTCATAACAGCCATCTCAAAAAATAAAAAAAACTATCGAATTCCAAACGATTTTCTTTTCTAGAAAAATCTCATTTTCCCTTTGAAATAAAATTGTCTTTTGCTTTCACCAGACGATCTTTTAAAACAATTTTACATTATTTAATTATATAATTATTTGCCCCTGAAAGAAATTTAAAAAAATTAAAATAGTCAAAGACACCAAAAAGTGATCAAGGACATGAAAAAACATTTCCAATAATTTTAAGAGTAAAAAATTTTTAACTTTTAATAACTAAGAAAAATCTTCAATTTTATTATTTTTTTAAAATTTTGTACATATTTTTGTATTAATTTAGTTAAGCAAATGGAAATATTCCAAACTTCGATTCAACATAAAACGACTTTTTCATCTAACACCAAAAGAACCTGCATCCGTTCTTTTTATTAGTTTTTTTTAGAGGTAGGATCATAAAAAAAGGTGCATCCTTTAAACGTAGATTTCAGCAAAAGCCTCTTTCCACCATAAATCATTAGAGACTTTTTTTACAGCCTTCTACCCCTTAGAGGGGTGCAGTGTTTAACTTCCAACAGTACACTTGGCACCACAAAATGATTTATAACGCTTTTAAAATGATAAGAGATCATTCTTTATTCTCAGATATTTTTTTCTTTGTTTTTTTAATTCAAATCATGGCGGTATTGTATTAAAAAGTCTTTTCAAAGATTCTTTTATGCATGTTATTTAAAGTAAGTATATTTCTTTTTAATTTGTGATGCGTAAAATATAAAATCTTAAAAGATAAAATTTTACTATAAAAATTTACAAACCATTTGTTAAAATTTAACGCTCACTTAATTTAATTTTAATTTTGCTTAATCAAGACAAATTCTTATCAAAAATAATTTTTTAAAAAAATCATCTAATTTCTTGAAATCAAATATAAATTTATTTATTATATATTACAGCTATACCATTAAAAATACAGCAGATTTATTTTCTCTCATACTAAAATTGCACAAAAAACATACACATTGATAAAATTTCTAAATGTCGTGATATGATACTCTTATCTCACTTTCAAGATAAATTGTCATACAAACTAAACTATCTTTGAGAAAAATTAAATAATAATCAATCTTAAAATAGCAAATTTATAGTTTCTTAATTTTCGAACTTGTAAATTTAACATAAAAGCAATAAATTAAAAGATTTAACTAGAATGAAACTGAAAAGCTCATTTTATATTATTTTATATACTTTTTATTTATTATTAGAGTCATTATATTTAATGTTTTAAAAAAATTATCTAATTTCTTGAGATCAAATATCAATTTACTTATTGTATATTACCATTAAAAATATATATGAAATTTATTTTCTCTTATATTAAAATTGTAAAAAATATACACACTGATACATTTTTAATAATAAAATAATACTCTTTTCATACTTTCATGCTAAACTATAAACTATATTTGAATGAATGAAACTGAAAAGCGTTATTTTATATTATCTTATATATTTTTATTTATTATTAGAGTCATTACATTTAATTTTTTTTTAATTAACTAACTTATTGGATTCAGATTTATTTTCTCTTATACTAAAATTGAAAAAAACATATATACTGAAAAAATTTCTAAATCCGCGATTTAATACTCTTATCTCCCTTTCAATATAAACTATTATGCAAGCTAAATAGATCAAATATCAAAATATAATTTTTTAACTAACAAATAACAAATTTATAATTTTTTAATTTTCCAATTTTGTAAGTTTAACATAAAAGCAATAAATTAAAAAGTATAACTAGAATGAAACTGAAAAGCGCCATTTTATAGCACAGTTATTTATTGCAATCGAATTACATGCAAATAAAATAAAAAAAACTAATTAACTACTAATTGAATATTTTTGCAATCATTTCATTCTATTCTTGTAAATTGAAACGTGGTTATATTTTATAAGGTAAAAAAAAAGCAGATTTAATATTCTCATAACCATTGAAAATATTAAGTAGTAATAAAGAAATTAATAATGTCCAATAAAAATTTAATATGGCGAGAAGTAAATTGAAATATGAAATTTGACTTCTCAATCCAAAATTGAAAAGATGGCTGAAAAGAAAATGTTATTCATTTATTCCAGTCTTGTTATTTTATCTGCACAGGAAAACGAAAATAAAAAGAAAAGAAATGGAAATTACGAAAAAGGTAAATGGCGCTGTAAAATTAATTACCCTATATCTGAAATCGAACAGATAAAGAAAAGCAACAAATGATTATTATAATTTACCTGGAAATTAAACCAGAATCATTTTCGAAAAACTTTCTTTTTTCAAATAAAAATAATGTCCTCCGCCAAGAAATGCAAATCAATTCTTTTTAAAGATTTAATTGTTTTTCATTCTTACTTTCCAGCCATTTTAAAAGCACGAAATAAAGAAAGAGCGAATTGAATGAGGAGGCACAAAACTCTTCTTCAACTCTTTCCTTAATGAGAGAGAGGAGAAATATTGGGAGCGACGACAAAAAAAAAAAAAAAAAGGGAGAAATAATTATGAAAATTGCTTTCCATAACATGAGATATAAAAGATAAAGCCAAACATCCATTTCTATTTTTAGGGTCTCGGTTCCTGATAAACATGCAACTGATACTTGATCGATTTTAGGGAGGGAGGCTGAAGATAGGTAGTCGCATGTTTATTTAATTAGGGATTACAGCATGGCGCGGATTTAGTAATGACTTCCAAGACATTCAATAAATATAAAACAATGAAAGTCGACATCTACATGGATGTAGTTAGATGGTAAGGATAAAAGTATTATTCATTTACAAAATATTTTCAGTTATAGTGTACTTTCTTAAAGTTGTTTTAAAACTTTACATTCGCAAATAATTAATAGTTCATGGTTTGGTTTGTTGCTCCACGATCATTTTGTGCATACTTTAGGCTAATTATACCGGTACCTGGATTCCGACGTAACGTGGATTCCGAACCACTGACAAACATCCATGCCCCCACCACGACGGCCATCAGGCAGACACGTTTATAAGGATTAGTTTGGTTTGGTTTGATTTGTTGCTCTACGGTCATTTTGAGCACACTTTAGGCTAATTAGACCGAGATCTACTGTTTAACATGGATTCCGAATAACTAACAAACTTCCATGCCACCACCAAAATTCGATCCTCAAACATATGGTATCAAAGGCCACAGCGCTATCCAATCGGCCATCAGGCCCACAGGTTTGTAAGCATTGGTTTGTCGCGCTACGGTCATTGTTTTTGCACACTTTAGACTAATTAGACTAGGACCTACATTTTAACGTGGATTTCGAACCGCTAACAAACATCCATGCCACCACTAGGATTCGAACCTGAAGCCAGTGGTACCAAGAGCCCTAGCGAATTGGCCATCAGGCCGCGGAAATAATTGTTAGAATAAGAAATAAGAAATACAAATAAGTAACTTATTAGTAAACATACGAAATATACATTTCCAAGGATGTAAATGAACATATCTATACAAAAGTTACATATTTTGATACTAAAAGATAAATTATTTTTAAAACATTGACATAAGTTATTTTTAACATACATGGAAGCATTTTCTAAATTTATAAAAAATATATAACATTTTTGTAAATTTAGAAAATGCATTTTGTTTTATATTCAACTTTGAAATATTTAAAAAAACACAAAATTATAATAAATATTAAAATACGAAAACATTTTATTATTTTTAATTTTTTCTTTTACTATTTTTCCATACATGAAAAGCCTTTCTTACAACTTTTTAATAATCTAAAAAAGGTCTCTGTTTTGATGATAAATTCTTGTGTTGTGTTGACAAAGTAATTTTGGTTTTTCACCATTTTAGTCCATTATAAAAACCGAACACACTTTCTTGCTAAAGAAAAATGTTCTGTGTATGCATAAAAGATTCCATGAATATTTTTGCACTTTTGTCAGCATTTTTTAGCTTTTTCCATCTACGATACAAGTTAAGATGAAATTTTTCAGCAATTAAGAACATCTGTTGTGTCGTTCTTTATCTGTTATTATTTTCTTTACCAGAAAGGCTATTTAGATATATATATATATATGATTTTGTGTTTAAAACGATATATATAATTATTATTTATAAATATATTTAATCGTTTAACTACTATTCTGAATTTTTATTATTATTGTTTATGTATTTTGCATTGCTTATAAACTTTCTATCGTCAATGACACAGTAAATATCGTCAGAAAATCATATCAGAATTTAAAAAATATTTTTTAAATTATACTTAAATAAAAATAGAAAATTGTTATAGGATTTTATTTATATCTCATAATTTTTAATTAGTTTTCATTTTATATTAGTATTTTTAATTAAATTAGTATTTAATTTTAGTAAACGAAATTCATTCGATAGTTATTTATTCAATGATTTTGCTCAAATTTCAATTTTTATGATTTATTTCTTTAATACTACCATATATGGTAATTTTAACAATTAATATATAATTCTAATAGAATAAATATGTTAGATCACCGAAGTCAAGCATCATTGGGCGCGGTCAGTACTTGGGTGGGTGACCACCTGGGAACACTGCGTGCCGTTGGCAAATTTGGGACCTGAATGACCGAGTGTCTAGCGCTCTGGCGCTCGGTGCCACAGGTTTCGGGTTCGAATCCCGGCGGTGCCATGGATGTTTGTAGTGGTTCGGAATCCACTTTAAGCTGTAGGTCCCGGTCTTCTATGACTGTAAGAGCGTCACGGAGCAAAAGTCAGGCTTCTACCTACGGGTGCTCCATCACAACAGAAGCTGCTTCCTTCCCCTTCAATCATGAGTCCATATGGGCTCGTGGGCTTGGCCAGCCAAGTGGGATAAGAAACAACAAAACAACAGAATAAATATATAAATTAGGTTAGACTGCAAAATAGGATAAAATTACAATAGGAAACAATATTGCTTCAATGATGTTGTTGAATACTTTGCAAACGATGTTAGAGAAAAAAGGAATTATTTTTTTCTTTTTAACAATTATGGCTTAAAAAGAAATTTATAAAATAAACATAACTTCGAAACAAAAAATAATAGGGAAATGTTCTTTGAAATTAAGAATATTTTGCCATGTACAATTTAAGACGTTTTTTCATAAATAGCATAATAACTTATTTTAGATGACAGCAATCTAACCATAAGAAAAAATGTGACAATTTAAGCTCTTTTCGAAATCACTTCAGTGTGACAGAAGGATTCGCAATGATCGTTTGGCATGTGCCCAAATTACGCGAAATCATTGTTACCAGTGTCATGCCATTTGAGTAATGTCATTTCTGCCTTCAAAATTACAACACAGCATACAGCCATACATTGTATTTCTTTTTATACATAGAATATGAGTTTTTTTGCTATTTTGAACTATTATTTAAAAGGAGAAAACTAGGGCTTGCTTCAATACTCACGAAAAACTCAAACAGAATAAAAAAAAAAAATGTCATATCTATTTAATTCCAATGTTAGCAATAACAATTTCATTTTTGTATAATTGATAAGTTTAAAAGTAAAAAAAAGTTTAAAGTAAAAAATTTTATAAAACGAAAAAACGATACACAAGCAAAATATTTCATTTAATTAATAAGTATTTTTAATTTTTATTAAATATTTTTAGAATAGATTTCATATAATAAAAAATATTGCTTAAATTTATTCTAAAATTTTGTAATAATTAAAAATGCTTATTTAATTTTTACATTAATTAAAAAAAAATAATGTTAGTTAATTATCTATATAAATCTAATTTCCACAAAGATATAATGTAATTGTTGCTACTAATAATTGGAAAGATAATTTCGATTCCTTATTATATCCAATACTTCACAAATAATTTTGTTAATTATCACAAATAATTTTGTTATTATAACATTATAAGAAAAACATTTATATATTATTAAACATATTAACATATATTATTAAAAAACATTTTAAATTTTTATTACAAATTTTTTTAAATAGATTTAATTTAAGCAATGTTTTTAATTTTTACAAAAAACAATGTTAGCTTAATTATAAATATAAATCTAATTTATCCAAAGTTATAATGTAATTGTGGTTAATAATAAATGAAAATGCAATTTCGATTCCTTATTATATCCCATACTTTACAAATATTTTTTGTTAATTGCCTAAATTATTGATAGAATAATTCGACGTTGTAAAATAAAAGCTTTATAATTCTGAAATGCTACATTCGTAGCTTAATGATGGTGTGCTCTAACTAAAGCTCAAAGGAGTGAAATCTCTAATCCTCTACTAGCGTATCTACATTCAATGCTTAGATTGAATTAAATTATTAGTTAAAATTATATAGATTCAGTGTAGATTGTGCGAAAGTGTGGCATTGATAATTAGACGAGCTAGTTTCTAACTTTTCAGGTTTTCTCTGATATTCTCTGATATAATTTCGCCAGCATGATTTAATTTAAAAGCTATTACTCTTGTATTCTTTTGGAGAACGTAATGCAGAAGAAGATAACTGTAGTGCATCTTGGATGACGTCAAATATGATATAATTACATCATATCAGACAGGAAATGACGCATTCATGGTTTCATTGAAAAAAGTTTTTTTTAAATATGTTCAAATCGTTCCAATAAAATAATATTTATTTGAAAGTAATTAACTAAACTGCCGATAATTTTTTTTTTCATTAATTAATAGTTTTCCAGTGAATCTATATCAAGAAATTTTAATAAAAAAGTAAAAGATACTGCTCACAAACTGCAATTATATATTTATAAAATAAATAAAATTCTTAAAAATTATCATAACCTATTAATAAATAATAACATTTCACAAATTCTTTTTATTTTCTTTTACTGCATTAGATGTAATCCCTTAAAAAGAAAAGAAAAGAAAATATTTGGCCGGAAATATTTTAAAATATTTATTTATTAAATATTTTAAATATTATTACTCACAAAATTTAGAATTTAATGTAAAAACAAAATTCACAACAATTCTTAAACAAGCAAAGAAAAAGTATCAATAAATCATTTTCATGCAATAAATTATGTTCAGCAGTTATCATTCAAAACTGAAAAAAAAAAAAAAAAACACATTAAAAAATATTTTTAAAAAAACTATACTTTTCCAAGCGATTTTATAAAAAGAGCACGTGAAAGAAATTTAATAAAAAAACAAGTGAAAAAACTTTAGAAATTTTATAAAAAGAAAGTAAAAAAAAAATTTAAAAAAAGCACATGAAAGAAATATAAATCAATCTAATAGCTCATGAAGAAATAAACTTTAGAATACCAAACGATTTTATAAAAAAGAAAGTAAAAAAAATTTAATAAAAAAGCACATGAAAGAAATTTAAATCAATCAATAAGAATAGCTCATGAAAGCAATTTAAAGAAATAAATACCAAACGATTTTATAAAAAAAAAAATAAACTTTAAATTCAATAAAATAGCTCATGAAAGCAATTTAAAGAAATTTTAAAAAAATAAATAAATAAATACCAAACGATTTTATAAAAAAAAAAAGTAAAATGGAAAATAAATTTAAATAAATCAATAAGAATAGCTCATGAAAGCAATTTAAAGAAATAAACTTTAGAATACCAAACGATTTTATAAAAAAGAAAGTAAAAAAATTAAATAAAAAAGCACATGAAAGAAATTTAAATCAATCAATAAGAATAGCTCATGAAAGAAATTTAAAGAAATAAACTTTAGAATTCCAAACGATTTTATACGAAAGCAACCAAAAAAATTAAATAAAAAAAAAACATGAAAGAAATTTAAATAAATCAATAAGAATAGCTCATGAAAGAAATTTAAAGAAATAAATAAACCAATAAGAAATGTTGAAAGTGATCAAGGAAACGAATATACTGATTAAGAACACGAAAAATTCCGCTACCCAAAACAATATCCATAATTTAGCCTAATTAAATAACTTAACGACATGGCACTCATTCAAGAAAGCTAAAAGAAATTCGCATCCACACAAACAAGAGATTCCGCATTTCGCAATGCTTAATTTGTCCCGTAATTATGATAGACTCCGGGATAATTGTCCAATCCAACGAATCCAAAACTCCTGTAAAAATCATCCGGCTGGTGTAATCGTCGCGCGAAGGCGTATCGAACAGAAGTCCTGCTACCCGGAATGAATTGGAAATGAGCCATAAAACGCCGGCCCTTTTCATCCATTTTTTAAAAAAGAGAAATCATTTATTGAGGGAGAGGAGAGAAAATATCAATATCAACCTAATTTCTGAAAATGAGGTGATAGCGGGGAAGAAAGAGGGGTGGCCCAACCCATGGAATTATAAAGGGGGAAAACCCTCCTGAAAAAGAGTGCGCTTGATGTACAGATGTCACGCAAGATAAATGGCTTCACTTGATGTTAAATCCTAACTAGATATTCGCTTTACAAATTATGAATGAATAAAGTGGTTTCAAACCAATAGTTCGAATAAAAGCTATTGGTAAAATACTGCAGAGTGATTTATATATATATATTGGATGTTATACTTTTAAAAGCAGTATATGCTTTCTTACAATTATTGAGCAGAAACCTTATTATACTTAACATAGAATACGTTTATTAGCACGGTTTACTAGCTAAAGTTGGTATTTTTTGTTTAATTATTCCTTTTTTTTTTTTTTTGCTTCATCGGGGTTTTTTACACAGGTACATAACATTCAAAAATACTATTGAATCACAGATTATTTTATTTTCAATGATGGTTTGCTTACTGAAATTGGTAACCGGTGAAGGCAATTATTTATCTTTAACATAAAATTCCGTTTATTATTGCTATTTACTAGTAAAAATTTATATTTTTGTTTAATTGTTCCTTTTTTTATTTAACTACACCGGTTTTTTGTTTATGTCGTTTTGTTTTGTTTTTTCTGCACAGGTGTAAAACATTCAACGTTACTTTTTAATTGCAATACTTAATTTACTTTTGAAGGCAATTGTAAAAACTTTATTTATCTTTAACACAGAATACGTTTATTAGTGCAAGTTAACAGCGAAAGTTGACATTTTTAATTATTTTTTTTAACTACACCTTTTTTTTTTATACAAGCACGTGACATTCAACATTACTTTTTAATCACAACTTTTTTTTTTATTTTCAATGATGGTTTGCTTATTCTAATTGGTAATCGGAGAAGGCACTTATTTAGTAGAAACTTTATTATCTTTAACATAGAATACGTTTATTAGTGCGAGTTAAAGGCAAAAATTTGATATTTTTTGTTTAATTATTCCTTTTTTTTTTTTTTTTTTTTTTTTACTACACTGGGGTTGTTTTTTTTTACACAGATACATAACATACAACATTACTTTTTAATCACAGATTATTTTATTTTCGATGATGGTTTGCTTACTGAAATTGGTAATCGGAGAAAGCAATTATTAGTAGAAACTTTATTTATCTTTAACGTAGAATAAGTTTATTAGTGCGAGTTAATAGCAAAAATCGATAGTTTTGTTTAATTATTCCTTTTTTTAGCTACACCGTGTTTTATATACAGGTACATAACATTCAACATTCCTTTCAAATCATAGATTATTTTATTTTCAGTGATGGTTA